GAGAAGATTTATTATTTCTTTTCTAAGTCAGTTAGAAAGAAGTTATATCGAGAGAATTATAATTAATTCTTTTTCTGAGCCTGTTAAAGAGAATAATACAAATTTAATTCTCAATTGTCTTCTTTAAATTTTCCCACCAAACATTACTCGTGGGGTTTCTTCCTCCTTCTCCTTGATTTTCTTCTCATGAACCTTTAGTTTTCCAATGAGCCCATCAAGCGTGCGTGTTGTGAGATCATTAGCATCCTCAATGGCCGTAGCTTTGGGCTCCCATGCTGGCGTTAGAGAGCGAAGAATTTTGTAGTTCTTCTCTTGGTTCTCCAACACCTTATCAAGACCATGTAATTCATTAACAATGTTAGTAAAGCGGCGAAACATGGTATCAATGGACTCATTTGGAAGCATTTTGAATAACTCATATTCATGCACGAGACTACTAATTTTTGGCTCCTTGACTTGAGGAGTTCCTTCATGAGTTATACATAGTTTCTCCCAAATTTCGTGTGTGATTGCACACGTGGAGACTCTATTATACTCATTAGGAGTGAGTCCACAAATCAAGGCGTTCATGGCTTTAACATTGAGGTTAGTCAATTTCCATTCATTCTCAGTCATGTCCTTGCTAGACTTTTCAATATATTTTTTCTCTACAATATCTAGGATGTCAAGATCAATGCATCGCAAATAAATTCTCATCCTAGCCTTCCAATATGCAAAATTATTACCGGTAAAGAATGGAGGTCTAGTAGTTGATTGACCTTCAAGCATATCCACATTCATGTTTGAGTCTATTTGGACCTTTACTCTAAGGTGATTAAACCTCAACAAATATAGAGACATTGCTCTGATACCAAATAAAATTTACCATAGAGGGGGGTGAATATGGTAACCAAACAATGAATGTGCAATTAATGAAATTCAATGCAACATAAGACACAATATAACAATAAGGCAATAAATGAGAGAGAGAGAGAGAGAGAGAGAGAGAAAATAGTTAGCCAAATGAAGCCCCAATGTGTTCACGAGGTTCGGTCCTCTCGACCTACGCCCCCGACCACCTCTCCCGATGGTAATCCACTAATCACAATCTGTTTTGAAAGCCGGAACTTCTTCACAACGATCTCCTCGAGAACTCACAATCCACACAATGATCTCCTTGAGATCAAGCTCTCTACACAATACAATAAGATAGAAAAATCTCTTTTACAGCAATCCTATAGTAAGGATAAAGAGATGACAATTGAAGTTTGGGATTGCGGGATTTTAACGTGAAAGAACGAAATTGAGTGAGATGAAAGTTTAAGCTCAAAACACACAAAATCACAAACTCAAGTATATTTTCTTGCTTTCTTTTTTTTGTTACTGAGCAAATGGGGGATGGAAGATATTTATAGGCACTCAAAACAATAGCCCAAATCCCAAGAAAATCCTCAAAACCAACACAATCCCTAAAATCTCAGAGTCTGGAAAAATGACTGTTACAGTACTTTCGGTCGACCAGTGGACCATGATCGGTCGACCGATGAGTCTGGCTGAAACAACAATCTAGAAACACCGTCGGTCGACCAATACGTATGCATCGGTCGGCTGGTCACCTGTCATCGGTCGACTGATGAACATGTATCGGTCGACTGATGAGCGCCAGACTGTAGTGTCTCAGAAACTATTTCTGATCGGTAGACCGGTTGCATCTTATCGGTCGACCGATAACAGATATATTCCAGACACCTGATTTTTTCCAGAATTGATGATGTTCTAAAAATGATTTAAAATATTAAATCAACTCTAAAAATAATAAAATTTGGGAGAATACTTATAAATATGAAAATGAGTATGTTAGAGAAGGAAATTTTTAAATAGCACCTTGTATTTGTGAAAATTCATTATTTTGCCAAAACATCAAAAATACGAGTTTTGAAAAGGTGTGTGTGATCCCCAAATGCTTCAAAAGCTATCTACGTTAATTCTTGCCTATATTATGATCTAGAGAGAAAATAAAAATTCAAATACCGCTCACAAATGTATACAACTGTTGAGACTCGATATTTGCTAATTTGTTGATGAAGCTCCTCTTGTATATGTTGCGTTTGAAAGAGCTCTTTCATCAATTTGCCTCCACCTCCTTGAATATCATCGTTGTGGTGCAAAATTCCATCCATCCTCCAACTGTGGAACTATATTGCTTGATAAAATATATCTGATAAAATATATCCTGCACAATGTCACTTGACAAGTAATTAACACAAATAATAGAATTTGTAAATCATCATCAAAATACGAGACCTAACAATAAGCTTCGATAACCAAAAGCATAAAGGAGTTGGGTCTCGTTGTCTTTGATTGGACAGAGAAGGAAGAGATATTATTCAATGAGCTCACCACACTAGTAACTTCTTCAGCATGGAAGCCAAACTTACGTAATCAGATTTCTTTAACCTTCTAATAGAAGTCAGTTGAATAAAATACCATTTTGACTAATATTGAGGAAAAATTAAAAAAATCAAAAGAAAACAAATAAAGCTAAGCATAACTCAGGGTGCACATCTGCCACATGAGCCAACTTTTTTAATCGTTTCAGCTGATAAGTCATATGAGAGGAGTATACACGGCTATGAATGCTAAAAACTTCTTGCTTTGAATCGTATTTACTTTCGAAATTTTGCGTCGTGTTGAAATCTTAATAGTTCAAAGATGAAGCGTTGGTGAGCTTCTTCTTCGTTAGGACTTAGGAGGTAGACATCATTTGAAACTCTAGAAATCACACGCTAAGATTTATCTATCTCGTTCAAAAGGCATTTTTATTTAGAAAGGGCCAGAATTTAGAAAGAAAAAAAAAATCAAAATGAACTTGTCAAGTTTAGTAGAGTCGTAACTTAATAACATGTCCGTTTTCAACTCAAGGTGTTCTTTATGAAAATATTTAAAATCATATTAATTACATTACAACTTCAGCTTCAGAGGACGTTTCAATTTACTTGTACACTGGTTGCAATTATATATGCTTAGGAAAGAAACTTGTTTAGTAACCTTCCCTTCAACCCAAAATCAGAAGTAGAAATAAAAAACACTAACACAAATCAAAGCAATGAAAATTTCTATTTAGAGAGAGGGGGTGTGAAATTTATACCTGCAGGGTAGGAGGAAATCGTCGGCAACCCTAGAATCCTGAAGCAACAGAAATCCCCAAAATAATTTCGCCCAAATCTCTGTTTTGACCTCCAAATCTTCAACCAAACCAAAGATACTGCGGAAATGGAGAAGGCGGTTAAGATTTGGTCAATAATTAGGGATGAAGAACGTTAGGGTTTGGTAGCGGAAAATAGAGGAGGCGGATAAAAGAGGAGGGAGACGAAAATAGCGGTGACGGGAGTGAGAGGAGGGATTTTCGGAAGCTGAGGGTTTTGATGAGGTGGATGAGTTTTTCAGATATCCACCCCATATCCTCTCTCAATGAGGGGATTTCATAAATCCTAAAAAAATTAGTTTTTTACAATTTGGGGATTCAATACCCAAAATTTGTTTTGAAACAAACAAAGTTTATAGAATCCTAACACTCTAAAAACCCCAATTTTCATCCTAGAATTTGGAATCCACCCTATATCCCAAAAAATAAATTTGAAACAAACACCCCGTAAACATATAACTATAATGCTACAGTAACAATTCATTCAAAACTTACCCATCTTTACTTTGTCCTTTTACTCTACCCTCCCTTGGTCTCATTCTTTCGACCTTATTATTAAAGAAATGTTAGAGGCACACCATGAGGCATACATCCGGTCACACTCCCCCACCTGCTACAGTGCAGGGGGCTCCACAGGAGATTTTTAAAAAAATCTCCTGTGGGCCCCCCTGCACTGTAGCAGGTGGGGGAGTGTGACCGGAGGTGTGCCTCATGGTGTGCCTCTAACACCGCTCTTATTATTATGGCTTTTCTCTCTTTACCATATAATAATGATTAAAAAAAATATAAAAGATACTTTTTGCAAAGAAGCCCCCCTGACTTTATGTTATGATTCTTTTGTATGATTAAGGATCGAGCTCCACCATGTTTAGTTTTAAAAATGCTAGAGTTCATAAAACTAAGATTATTTTTAAATAAAACCCTAGATTTGTGATATCAAAATCATTTCAAAACCCGCATTCTCTTTTATGTAAATACTAGTGTGCACCTCGTGCGAAGCAGGACCTCCTATTTTTTTAAGCACTGCATTTTAAACTTGCATCCCTCTAAGTTTTAATGCATTTGGTTTAATTATTGTATGCTTAAAATTAAAAGTCATATATACTCCTCTATTACCTTAAAAAATCCAAGTTTTAATATATTTGATTTAAGAATCATATATACTCCTCTATATTTAAAGAAGGATCCAAGTTTTAATACATTTGATTTGTTTTATTGTTTATGATACGGTAAATTACTATAGTATGAATAGTAACTCCAAGTATGAAGATGCAGATTTAATTTACTGTTTATACTACAGTAAATTACTATAATATGACCAAATTTAATTTATTGTCTACAGTTCTTACTATATTATTTACTGCAATATAAACAATGATTTTTTAAATTCTTTTTTAAAAATCAAAGAATGGATTAATAACTAATTTAGACCGTCAAATGTCAAGTTGTCCTCCTTTTCTCCCCAAAATCAGTAAAGGGCCTTTCTCCCCAAAACGCCTATTAAAGAGGCGTTTTGGGGAGAAAGCTGCCATAATGGCAGCTTTCCACCCCCTCCCCGAGGCAAAATACTCAAAACAAACAGCCCCTAACCGGAAAGGGGGCCAGACCATAGGATAGGGGAATTGAATCCAGCATGGTACGTTCCGAATCTAATTAACAATTATTAATTTCTTAATCTTAATCTTTACTAACACTGCCTCCTCCTTAGTATCTTTTTACTTATATAATAATAATTTAGCCACGAAAATTAAAAAATAAAGCAAATTTATTATTTTTCTATAAATAGTAATCTCACCTGCAAATCTCCGATACCCATACATGCCTTGCATCCCTCTTCCTCTTTCATCTCGTTACTCTCTTCTCTCTCTCTCTCTCACGGACTTCTCACTCTTCATCTCAAAGAAATTTCTAGGGTTAGGGTTTAAATTTTTGCTTGCTTTTTTTTTGTTTCGCTTTGAATTTGTGCGGTGATCTCGATTCTTGCCCTTTCAGCTTGTAAAAGGGCGGGTTTCTCGTGAGCCTCATATCTGTTTTTAGACCTTTTGGGTATAAATAGGTAAGGGATAGAGAGAGAGTTTTCGATAGAAAGAAGAGGAGTAAAGAAATGAGTCGAGGGGAGAAGTTGGAGAAGTTAACGTCGATCGATGCGCAGTTGAGGCTTTTGGCGCCGGGGAAAGTATCGGAGGATGACAAATTGGTGGAGTACGATGCTCTGCTCTTGGATCGGTTCCTCGACATTCTACAGGATTTGCACGGCGAAGATATTAGAGAGACGGTACCAGAATCGATCATTTACTCTTGTCTGTGCAAATTTCAATTTTTTTGAAGATTTTTAATAAAAAGGATACCAGGAGTAGCGGCGAAATATGTCATTTTGCTGATTGTTTCTGATGATCTATGCACAATTTGATATTTTTATTCTGGAAAAATAAGAAAATTACAGAAAGATTACATTTTGATCTTCTGATTTTCCTCAGGGAAAATAATATTACCTCTATCCAGGAAAAATAAGGAGAGAGAAAAAAAATGTTCAAGGATTATATTATTATTGGGTAATGAGTTTCTTCTCTTGCTACATTTATCAGTATACAAATAGGAACTACAAAAGAAGGGGCCCATTTGAATGGAGTTTTGTAATTAGTTGGTTTTGAGGAACTGAAAGTAAAAGATCAAAAATTAGGCTGAACTTTAACTTGTTTGAAAAATTGATGTTCTTAGGTTCAAGAGTGTTATGAGTTATCAGCTGAGTACGAGGGAAAGCATGACCTGAAGAAGCTGGATGAACTGGGGAATATGCTGACAAGTTTGGATCCAGGGGATTCCATTGTGGTTGCCAGTTCATTCTCGCACATGCTCAACTTGGCAAACTTAGCTGAGGAGGTCCAAATTGCATACAGGAGGAGGATTAAATTGAAGAAGGGAGATTTCGTTGATGAGGCTTCTGCCACTACCGAATCAGACATTGAGGAGACCCTCAAAAGGCTTGTTGTGCAGCTGAAAAAATCTCCTGTAGAGGTTTTTGATGCTCTGAAGAATCAAACAGTCGATCTAGTTCTTACTGCTCATCCAACTCAGTCAGTTAGGAGGTCGCTGCTTCAGAAGCACGGAAGGTAAGAAACTATTCCCAGAAAATATTGCATTGGATCTTGTTATTTAATACCTTTGTGATTCATGTTGAGTATCTCATTCAGAATCCTATGCTTGGTTGCTTTCATTCTTCACTTGTTGTGACATATATGCGGACTCTCTGTTTATAAAATTATAAATGCACAATCTGTGATACCTATCCATGTTTGAAGAAACTAAATTGTTCAGTTGTTCTTGCAGTATATAACATTCAATCTCTAGAATCTCTGGGCTAGTAGCTTTGTAGGTATAGAATGCTGTTATATATGTGAATTTATGTAAAGGTAATTAAAAGCTTCCAGTGCTTGTGTATATTTAAGTGTGTGTGCCCGTTTGTGTATGCATAAGTTATTCCTCCTTACTTTCTGAATATATGTTGATCTAGGTTTCTTAGCATTACAATTTACAAGGACCGTCAACTACCATAGCATCATGTTGATACGATAGCTTCAACAATAGCTTTATAGTTCGTGCTCTTATATTTCTGGATCTTCTTTTTGTTCATCAGGATAAGGAATTGCTTAGCGCAGCTTTATGCGAAAGATATTACGCCTGATGATAAGCAGGAGCTTGATGAAGCACTCCAGAGAGAGGTACTGGATATTGAGCTATGGTGTTGCTTCCGCATAATCTTAGTAATTATATTGTTGCTGATTTGTTACACCTTCCATAGTTGTTTTCCTTGATATACAGGACCTAAAACAACATTGAACTTATACAAGTATTACAAACAGTGTTCAGCATGCAATTCAACTTTGGGTTCTTTCATAGATAAGAAAACCATTTATTATAACTAGTATATGTTGTAGTTTGTTGACTTTTGACTCTTATTTCCATAGAAATGGGATGATCTCTAACAGTTTGTCATAGTGAATTACCTAACCCCTCTTCGAGGATGCATATCGAATCACATGATCCCATTCAGGGCTGTGTCCTCCATCTGGTTCTTTGGATGTGGTGACTCAAAACTCTAAATGTTAGGGAAACAAAAGGTTTGAATGACAGTTGTACGTGGTAATGGTTGAAACTTTTAATGGTAAACACGAAATTCATTGATCCAAGTATGTATGGTAGTCTGTTGAGTGTTGACTTTGACTCTGATCTTTGAACTCCTAATAGTTGTCATAGTATTACCTGATCATCTAATTTATAGGTTCTCGACTTTCTAAGTTCCTTTCCCCACATCTTTTCTATGAGATGAAGTCAGATTAGTTCCATTCAAGAAAGGTGATCAGATTTGCAGGCTTAATATCAAATTCCTAGAGTCTAGGTGCCTGTATGATGGATGCATTTTATTTACAGAATTGAAGTTCAACTTGGTATGTCTAGACCATTTTTGAATTCCAACTTAAGAAAATGAACAAATGACTATGTATAGATATGATCAGTGTTTTAAATGCAAAAGGCCAGGTCAAGGCGATGTGGTCCTATGCTGTCTGAGGCGAGAGGCTCCAATAAAGGCGACCACCTAAGTGAACCGGCGTCATAAATATTCAAAAATTAATAAACATTACTAATAATATGCAAATATCAATATTAGCAACAAGACAAATTAATCACACTCAAATTTTCAAAGTCACAAATCTAATAAGTCATAAATCATCTAAATGTAGTAGTATCAAATGTTGAATAGTAATATTAGCTAGTAACTGCTAACACAGATAATTAAATGATAAACTTTAACCTTTAAGATTCAAGTTGTGGCATGTCTTCAAAATGATATAGGTAATAAAGTACGTTAAAAAAAGAAGCAAAAATCGACCAAGAAAAAAGAAATGCAAAACTTACATTACTTTATCGAACACATTTTGCACCCTCAAAATTTTTAAACAGAGAAAAACTCCTCACGCTTTGCATCACATGCATTAGGCGAGTGCCCGAGGTGCCAAGGCGAGGTTATGTGATGCCAAGGCGAGCTCTTGAGGCGGCAAAAGATGCTCGCCTTTGTAACATTCATCGCCTGGTAAATGGCAATACGCCAGGCGCTAAGTTACAAGATCGCCTTGCCTAAGCGTCGGAGACGCTAAGGCACATTGCCTATAAAACACTGGGTATGATAAAGTTTTCTTTATTCAAGAAGTGAAATATTATAGTGAAAAGTAACATATATAAATGATTTTCTAGTCCTATAATATAACATCAAAATTCATATATATTTGTATTCTTTGAATTCCTGAAATTGTTAGTTGTGGGTTGGTTGATATTTGATAACTATGTTACCTTGGTACTTCTATTAAGAAGCCGCACCCGTCCCCGACATGTACCTATACCCATACCCATACCCATACCCATACCCATACCCACTCCTCTTGGACACCTCTTATGCATATGTTTATTCTGGCGTATACTCAATTATATAATACATGTTTTCGTTTAAAATACTCCTCTGATATATGTCCTACACTTCACATCTATTTCTTATGTAATAATCTAAGGTAAATGAAAAAAACAATATCGATCTTATGTAAATTATTAAATTTAGTACATATTAATATACCTAACATGCATTTATAAAGTGGTGTCCCTGTACCCTAACTTCTACAAATTTGCCGTGGCCCGTACCCGCACTCAAACCCGTACTAGTACCTGTGCCCATACCCATGCAACCTATGTTGATAATTACATTGGGGAGACCTGAGGAAATGGAATTCAAGTTGAGGTTTTTTTTCAGTAGTTTGGCGTGGATAATATCAGTACGTTAAGCATCTTATCTCACCACCTTCAATATTAAAACCAGTATCTTGGAATATGAACACAGAATGTACTTTTTCCACTTAAATTTTTTTTTTCTCTAAGATTTAAGTAAATTCTGTTCAATCATCAAAGTAGCACCCTATCAAGCTGATAAGGAATGGATATAACTTCTAAGTACGCAGATAGTGCTGCCATCACTACATTATTGACTGGAAATATTTTTCATATTATTTTTGAAAATTTTTGCTTCATTTTTCATGTTTGATGTTTATGATTTTGTTTTTTCCCCACAGATTCAAGCTGCCTTCAGAACTGATGAGATCCGGAGAGCTCCTCCCACTCCACAAGATGAAATGAGGGCAGGAATGAGTTACTTCCATGAAACTATATGGAAGGGTGTTCCTAAGTTTTTACGGCGTGTTGACACGGCTCTGAAAAACATCGGGATCAATGAGCGTGTTCCCTATAATGCTCCTCTTATTCAATTTTCTTCATGGATGGGGGGTGACCGTGATGGTAAGATAGTTCTCCATGAATTAGTACATTCTTGATGGCTGAGTGATTGCTAAACTAAACATTCATGTATTCGTATGCATTAAAGTGATTTGTACACAAGAAAAATGTTATATCACGTCGTAGATTTAAATCCACTGCTATTAAGGAAAGTTTAGAGAAATTTTTATATAAATTTTCTTCCGTGCAAATTTGCTTCTTCAGTTTAGAGATATTACATGTTATGCTGTGCCTTCTGGCATTCATTCTGTAGTATGCTAGTTAAGAAGGGTGTAGTTTATACAGTGGCGTTGGATATAAATCGATACGTGATATCTTACATTCATAATTTGGGTCAATCTAATCTGTGTATACTAATGGACACAGGAAATCCTAGAGTAACTCCAGAGGTTACAAAGGATGTATGCATGTTAGCGAGAATGATGGCTGCAAACTTATACTTTTCCCAGATTGAGGATTTAATGTTTGAGGTATCAAACTTCCCAGCTAACCTTTTATCTAAGATTTGATTGAGGATCTAATGCTTTGTACTGTATGCTATTTTTTTTATTACTACTATTCAAATACAGCTGATTAATATCTTCTTACTCCTTACAGCTGTCTATGTGGCGCTGCAGTGATGAGCTTCGAGTTCAAGCGGATATTTTACATCGTACTTCAAAGAAGGATGCAAAACATTATATAGGTATTGGCATAATTTTCTCTTTGACAAGTCTTGTTATGGTGCATGGAGCATATATTGCAATTCTTTCTTTGATATATTGGTTGAATCTCCAGTGGGCTTGATCTTATTATTTAATTATTTATGAGTCTAAATTTATGAGAGGCTAGTATCTTACAATTAGTAGTGCTTTATTTGAAAAGAAAATATTTTTGTATTTATCAAGAATCTAATTGCTCAGGCTTAAGGCAACAGTTCGTGTTAGAAGGATCAATTCTTATGACATTAATTGTGATTTCTGAAATTAATTCTCTGTGATGAAAATGTGCAATATCTTTGTGGTGGCTGAAGCCAGCCAGGTATGATGGGCAAGTGCTATTTTCAGACATTAATTTCCTTCCCTTGCATTGAGTCAGTGTCGATTTGTTGTAGCTGAAGCCAGCCAGTTTGTATTAAAAGGATCAATTTTCATGACATTAATTGCGATTTTGATGATAGTAAATGAATTAAGATTTCTGAAATTAAATTTTTATGATGAAAATGTGCAATATCTTTGTGGTGGCTGAAGCCAGCCAGGTACGATAGGCAGCCATGGTGCTAGGCCCCAATTTCTTTTCTTTTTCATCCCCCATACCATTATCTGTAGCAGTTTATGAAATTGACAACTTATCTGACATGGATGAAAATAGGTGTCAATGATGTCATTTTTTAATTTGTCATTATTTTTCAAGAACTGACCTATTCATACCTATATTATATTGTTTGAAATAAGAATAGATCTTGGGATCTCCATAGTAAGTGTCACCTAGTAAGTGAAGATTTTTGATGTCTGTTTAACGGTTTGTGGATGAGTCTAGGAAGATTTCATATAAGTTTCTTGAAAAACAAAAATCAGAATTGCACTGTCTGAGAACTGATCCCGGCGTTCTCTTTAGACCTGACCCAGTAACAAGCACACTTGAGTCATTGTCTGAAAATAATTAGGAGGATGCCTACAGTGATCCAAGCTCTTTGGAGTTTATGCAGAATGATAGGTCGATGATAGGCTGACCATCTCACATGACATTGCTTGTGATCTTGATGGACGTAAAAGGATTAAATTTTCTGAAATTAATTCTCTGATGGAAATGTGTGTTATCTTTGTGGTGGCAGAAGCCAGCCAGGTATGATAGGCAATCATAGTGTTAGGCCCAATTCTTTCCTTTTTCATCCCCTATACTACTGCCTGTATTTGCTGCTCCTACCTTCAGAAACCTGCTGATCCCAGTAGATAGAAGTTTACAAAATTTACAATTGTCAGATGTGGCTGAACATGGGTTTCAATTGATGTCCTTGTTGAGTATGCCAATCTATTGTTTCAAAAACCGACATATATACCGTGCCTATTATATTTTTTAAAGAATAGAGCAATCTCCATAGTAAAGTGTCACGTAGTAAGTAATCTTTGGAGTCTGTTTCCTGGTTTGTGGGGGAGTCTAGGAAGATCTATTATAAGTTTCTTGAAAAACAAAAAAATCAGAATTGCACTGTCATAGAACCGATCCCAGTGTTCCATTTAGACCTGACCCAGTATGACCCAGTAACGAGCACACTTGAGCCTTTGTCTTCAAATAATTAGGAGGGGTTCCTACAGTGACCCAAGCTCTTTGGAGTTTACATAGAATGATAGTTTGACCATCTCACATGACTTGTAGTAGCGAGCCCAATCCTTTTTCAACTTCAGAGAGTTTTGCCATAGGCAAACTGCCATGGTTGACCCCACACACAGACACACAGACATATGAGGTTCTCTCATGGGCATATGTAAGAAATATACATAGTGATGTGTAAGGATATTGCCATTTAGTAATCTCTTGCTATAGGTGCTTAATTGATACATTGATTTGGTTGATGTAAACTTTTGTAAATAAAATGTCACATTAAATATCAGTTTGTACAAGTAAAGTTTAATGGAAAGATATAAGCCAAATGACACGACCAATTTCCTGTGCTCATATGGTAAAAGAACCAAATATTTAATTGTTGCAAAGATGAAGCAGTTCGGAGAAGTGAAGACCTATCTGCTGGATCCTGAACTTGTGGCCAATGCCATATGCTTACTTGCTATACTGCTTAATATATGTCTGAAGATAGCACTTGCATGTCGGAGAAGCCCGTTCCTATGGAAGATTGAGTCAGTACATGTTCGTAGTTCATGGTCCTCTAGTGTTTCCCACAATCGGCACTTGAGTCCTGACCAGACATTCCAAAATCATTCAGAACTCAATATTTTAGTTTTGAGTAAAACACTCCTAAGTTCATTTTTTTATATTGATGTTAAAATTCACTTTACTGCCATCAGTCTCTGCGCTTTAATTTTAATTTCTCTTGCTAAACTGTAGTTTTGGTTGCTGTAGGTTTCTCACTGATACTTTAATTTTCACTTTACTGCTGAAATAAAAAATTTCATTGATGTTTTAATTTTCACTTTACTGCTGTCCGTCTTTGGAGTTTAATTTTAATTTACCGTAGGTTTTGGTTACTAATAGTTATATTGATTTCTTTGCATGAAGAGTTTTGGAAACAAATTCCTTCAAATGAACCTTACCGCATTATACTTGGGTATGTGAGAGATAAGCTATATTATACTCATGAACGTTCAAGGCATTTATTGTCAAATGGGTACTCTGAAATTCCTGAGGAAGCAACTTTCACCAACATCGAGCAGGTTCATCATCTCAACTGTAGCAGTATTTTTTTATTGATTTATTTATTGTGAAGAATATACATATACCTATGTTTCCTGGAGTATGACTTGTCACATGCTGGCAGAAATTTAAGTAGAAATATGCTTAATGTATAAATGTTTGTTTTAACATTTTCCTTGGAGAAAATATTGATGGATCCTCTATTTAAATTTTATCATTCAATGCATTATTAACAGTTATGGAAACTTGTTCGCAGCATAAGTAGAAAAGTAAGTAGGAAAATTCAGATTTATTTCGTTGCATCCATTACCAGTTTAGATGTTGGTTTAATTTTAAAATAACCACATTTGGTGTATTTTATATATTTTGAAATTATAGCTTCTGAAAATTGGCATTTCTTATATATAGCCTAGTTCCAAAATATGCAGGCTCCATGAAAGGAAATGGTTAATTGATTAAAAGAAATAAGCCGTCATATTCCGCACCTACTAGATGCTTCTAATCCTGTAATTTAAAATTTTGACCCTTTTAACCAGTAAAAAAAAGATATTGTCTGTGACTGGTTTTATTTTCCTGAATCTAACCAACATCATTACTTATCTACATGATGGCATGCTTACTTTCATTATTTGATCTCCATTTTCAATGAGTACTAAACCAGACAAAGGAGAAAGTTTGCGTAGTATACATGCGTAAAACTCAGATTCTCTCATTTTAAGGTATATTGGTCTATGTCTCACAGATGCATTTTTGTCAGGATCCCTGTTTATATCTCTTTGATTGTTGTGGTATTTTTCTCTTTCTATCTTTTATAGGTAATTAATCCCTGTTTTGCTTGCACTTGCAGTTCCTTGAACCCCTTGAGCTCTGTTACCGATCGCTTTGCACTTGTGGTGATAGGCCCATAGCTGATGGAAGCCTTCTTGACTTTTTGCGGCAAGTATCAACCTTTGGCTTGTCTCTTGTGAGACTCGATATCAGGCAAGAATCTGATAGGCACACTGATGTCATGGATGCCATCACTAGGCATCTAGAAATTGGATCCTACCGTGAGTGGTCTGAGGAGAAGCGTCAAGAATGGCTGTTAGCTGAACTTAGTGGAAAACGTCCTTTATTTGGTCCTGATCTTCCCAAAACTGAAGAAATTGCTGATGTTTTAGAAACATTTCATGTCATTGCTGATCTGCCTTCTGATTGCTTTGGCGCGTATATCATCTCAATGGCAACTGCACCATCTGATGTTCTTGCTGTTGAACTCTTGCAGCGAGAATGCCATGTTAAGAAACCACTGAGAGTTGTGCCTCTATTTGAGAAACTTGCAGATCTTGAGGCAGCCCCTGCAGCCGTGGCTAGACTCTTCTCAATAGACTGGTACAAAAACAGGATTAATGGAAAACAAGAAGTAATGATTGGATACTCGGATTCTGGTAAGGATGCTGGGCGACTTTCTGCAGCTTGGGCATTATATAAAGCTCAGGAAGAGCTAATAAAGGTTGCCAAGCAATATGGTGTAAAGTTGACAATGTTCCATGGGCGAGGTGGTACTGTTGGGAGAGGAGGTGGTCCGACCCATCTTGCTATATTATCTCAGCCACCAGACACAATCCATGGATCACTTCGAGTTACAGTTCAAGGTGAAGTCATTGAACAGTCTTTTGGTGAAGAGCATTTGTGTTTCAGAACGCTCCAAAGGTTCACAGCTGCTACTCTTGAGCATGGGATGCACCCACCGATTTCTCCCAAGCCAGAATGGCGTGCTCTGATGGATGAGATGGCTGTTGTGGCCACAAAGGAATATCGATCAATTGTCTTTCAGGAACCACGCTTCGTTGAGTACTTCCGCCTGGTGAGTAACTTGCCTTAAAAGCTAATCCTTTAATAAATGAATTTCCAGGAAGTAAAATTTTGTGATCTGGTTTGGGAAACACCAAAAAAATCTCATATCTTAGATGACCACTGTCATAATGCTATAAGAAACTGTCATCTCCCTCCCCTCTTGCTATTTGGCTCCTTCCTAAGAATTGCTATCTTTTAAATCCAGCAACGAGTTATTCTAGTTGCAAATCATTTCCTTTCATCTTGATTTATAACATTTAGAGTAGCTTAAAAATGAAATAATTTTGAATTTTCTCATCTATGTATTATCCTAGACGGCTATAATTTGTGTGTCCAACAATACCACTGGAGCATACAAATTGAGAACCTATAGCATTGATCCTCATGATCTAAACACTTTGAAGCCCTTGCGCACCAAATTTTGTCTGATACAGATGTTCTTCACTATATATGTAGTTAGATTTTGTTTGAAACACACACATTTGGTGATAGCTTAAGGGAAGATAAGAAAACTTAAAATCATTTAATTTCTTGCTTTTAATGAGTCTAAATTTTTATTACTCAAAACGAATGGAGATGTTTGCAAGTAGAATGGCTCATCACTAGAATTACAGAAACAGCTTGCTTCCTAATCATTCTCGCAAAGATCCAACTCCTTCCCTTTCTCTCTTGATGTGTGGTTAAAAGAATATGTAAGGCAGTAATTTGTTGAAAAAGTAAACATTTGCTTATGTATACTTGTGATTCTAAATAAATATGACTAGTGGATTTAAGAATGTAGAGGGACTGAATCATGGATTTAAATCTTCCTTTTAATTCTTATTCATGTTTTTGCAAATCATGGTGTTAATTTTTTACTGTAGGCAACACCTGAAACGGAGTATGGTCGGATGAACATTGGCAGTCGGCCTTCAAAGAGGAAACCCAGTGGAGGCATAGAGTCTTTACGTGCAATCCCATGGATTTTTGCATGGACTCAGACAAGGTTTCACCTTCCTGTGTGGCTTGGCTTCGGTGCAGCATTCAAGTATGTCATGGAAAAGGATAGCAAGAACCTGCATACCTTGCAAGCTATGTACAATGAGTGGCCATTCTTCAGGGTAACCATTGACCTGATTGAGATGGTTTTCGCAAAGGGAGATCCAGGCATTGCTTCTGTATATGATAAACTTCTCGTTTCGAAAGATTTATGGCCGCTTGGTGAGCGATTGAGAGCCAATTACGGAGAGACAAAGAATCTTCTTCTAAAGGTAATTTTTTTTTGCTCTTTTATCTTTTGGAATTTGTAGAGGACATGGTTTTATGGGCCCTTTGGGTTTCCTATTATATCATTTATCTCATCACATGTTGCTTAGGAAATAGACATTGTTAGGATTGGAACTGTGAACAAACAGAGTTGTATCATGAAAAGATTGTTGTCAAGATTTGGGACATACAATATTTTATGTCTGAAGTTATTTCGCATGGATGTCCATTTTGATTGATCTGCACCACCTTTTAACTGGATGATTATATTCCAATTTCCAAAGTCCTAATGTAGTATACATATTTACTTGCAAGTAGAAGGCCTTCTATTTCCTGTTGAGTTTAATCAGTAGCTTGATGATCTGCCTTTATGATATGATGTTTATAATGGTATCACAGGTTAGCATGAAGGTACTTTCTAATTACTAACTTTTTTATCTGGAGACGACTATTTGTAACGTTTCTTTTCTTTTCTTTTCTTTTCGCATACTACTACTTTAATTACATCCTAGTTCTTCATTTTGGAAGAAAACAACTTTGTTAAATTACACAAATTAAAAAAGGAATACCTGTCTTGTAATGCATTACGTATTATTACATTTTCTACGAGGGCTTTTGTTTAAAGGCGTTACTTCTCTGTACATGATAATTAATAATTTTTTATATTTAAGTTTTAAAGGCCTTGTGCCTGCATTGATACTTCCAACAAACAACAACAACGATAAAGCATTTATTCCAAATGTTTGAGGTTGGCTATATGAATCCTATTATTTAAATCCATTCTATTATAGGCCATCTCCTTCATTAAATTAACCATAATCATATCCTTCTTAATTGCTTCCAACCCAGTGTTTTAGATCTGTCTCTAGATCTTTTTGTTCCATTAACTATAATATTATCACTTTTCTTAACCGGTGCGCGAAGAGGTCTCCGTTGTACGTGACCAAATCACTTTAATCTATTCTCTTTTAGTTTATCCTCAATAGGAGCAACATCTAATTTATTACGGATGCACTCATTTCTTATCCTATCTTTTAGTGTATACCCACAAGTCCATCTCAACATTCTACATTCACTTTTGGCGCATGATTTTTAATTGCCTAGCTTTATGACCTATAAAGTATTGTTGGTCTTATTACCATCCTATAGAAATTTTCCTTTAGTCTCATAGGTATTCTACGATCACACAGGATTCCCAAAGTACTCCATCTAAACCACCCCGATTTGATTCAATTGACAGCATCATCCTCAATATCATCATCATACCGAATGATTGATCCTAAAAGCTTATATTAACTAGTAATGCTTAATTCCATTTTGTAGGTTGCGGGTCACAGAGATCTTCTTGAAGGAGATCCATACTTGAAGCAGAGGCTTCGCCTTCGAGATTCTTACATAACAACTCTAAACGTTTGCCAAGCCTACACTCTGAAGAGAATCAGAGATCCTGATTATCATGTAAAACTGAGGCCTCACTTGTCCAAGGATGTCATGGAATCTAGCAAACCAGCTGCAGAATTGGTGAAGCTGAACCCAACTAGCGAGTATGCTCCAGGTTTAGAAGACACATTGATTCTTACTATGAAGGGGATAGCTGCGGGTATGCAGAACACCGGTTAGAACTTCTGGGTTTCATAATTATGGAGGGCTTTTTTCCCCCCACTTATATATATGTTTGTATCTAGTTACAGTAATTCATTATCTTGGAGTACAAACGTTTGGCTGCTTCATGGCATGCTTGTATTTATGTCTACTTGCGCAAATTGAATGAAAGGGCTCTTTTGGCCTAGTAGCCCCCTCATCTTTTGAATAAACATTGCGCTTCCAAGGAGAGCTGTTTGCTTTGCTGAAATTATTGGTAGGATCATTCTTGGTTCTTAATAAGCGCATATTTTCATATGATATCCTATTTAATGTTGATTGCAGAGAGCCCATGCGTACCATGAGGTTTAACTACTTATCATTTTCATTTTATTTTATTAGCACATACATCACCGGTCTTGGTCGAGGTAACCTTGCTGCTTTTCGCTTGTTTTCAAACCTCTTGTGAGAATCCTGTGGCATTGTTTTTGTCAAATACCGAACTCTGATCAGCACAGTTATTTCTCCAGGAGTTTAAAAACTAACGAAAATGCGATGTTGTCAATGTAACCACTGGGGTGCGTATGCTAATAGAAAAAAACATTAATGATAAATGGTATATATGATATTATTATTTTACTTTGTTGTATAGAATAAATGTGTTTCATGATGGGAAATAAACAGTACAACAAGACCTTTCCCGTCTTTGTGATGAGATGATAACAAAAATAGAAGAGGAAAAAAAAACACAAAAAGAGATTGCACACACAAGATTTACCGAGGTTCAGCTCAAATTGAGCCTACGTCCTCACCCGCCTCTTCTTCACCGTTTCCACTATAATCAAATGAAAGCTTACAAAGGGTCTTTTCTCAAGTTGGTATAACTTAGCTTGAGAATTACTTTCTTTCAAACTCACTTGAGAATTACAACTTTCTCTCAAACTCACTTGAAGATTATAGATTGTATGTGGTTTTTGTTCTTGCTTCTTGTTTTTAACCTTTACCATCTCCCCTCTATTTATAGGGATGATATGCCTCTTGGGTACACCACATTCATTGCATGAGGAAGTCCAAAGAGTAGCACTTCTTTTTCCTAATGCATGGGGAAAGACAATCTATCAGTGCATGCATGTAGTCAACCACAAAATCTCCATGGATTAAATCCATATTAATTCATCATGGGGATGGACTCCGTTCCCATCAATCTCCCCCTTCATGCTCATGAGGAGAAAGTTTTCAAACAGTAGTCATACCTGTCTTTCTTCGGCAGAAGTCATGCTTCTCTTTTGGTAGAGGCTTCGTCATCATGTCAGACGGATTTTAGCTTGTATCAATCTTCTTAATGTGTATAAGACGATTCTCCAAAGCATCACGTATCCAATGAAGGCGTACGTCAATATGTTTTGTCCTTGAATGATAGGTAGCATTTTTACTTAAGTCGATGGGGCTCTGACTGTCACAATATAGAGTGTACTTCTCTTGCTTGAGAGAGAGCTCCATCAGAAAAATTCTTCATCCACAAGAGCTCCTTGCTGGCTTCTGTAGCAGCGATATACTCAGCTTCTGTGGTGGATAGAGCGATACACTTTTGTAGCTTTGATTGCCATGGTACGGCTCCCCCTGCAAAGGTAAATAAATATTCTGATGTGGACTTTCTTTTTTTCAAGTCACCTGCCATATCAGAATCAGTGTAGCCTTCCAAGATAGGTTTTCCATCTCCAAAACATAAAGAATATTTAGAAGTTCCTCTAAGATATCTTAGGATCCATTTTACTGCTCCCCAATGTTCTTTATAAGGATTGACAAGATAACGACTTACCACTCCAACTGCATGTGCTATGTCAAATCTTGTACCAACGATGGAGTACATCAAACTTCCGACGGCCGAGGCAATTGAAATGCTCTTCATCTCTTCCTCCTCCTTCTCACTTGAAGGGCTTTGTTGTGTATTTAGCTTAAAATGAGCTGCTAGCGGTGTGCTGACTGACTTAGAGTTTAACATATTGAACATCTCTAGAACACGTTCAATGTATCTTTCTTGTGATAGCCACCACTTTCTTGCACTTTTGTCTCAAGAAATCTCCATTCCCAATATATGTTGTGCTGCTCCTAAGTCCTTCATGTCAAAGGACTTGCTCAGCTCTTTCTTCAAACTATCAATTTTAGACCTATCTTTTCCAATAACAAGCATATCATCAACATATAGAGAGAATAATGAAATCACCATCCGAGTACTTTTGGACATAAACACAATGATCTGCAGATATTTTTTTGTACCCATGGTCAAGCATAAAAGAATCAAACCTTTTATACCACTGTCGAAGTGCCTGCTTGAGTCCGTACAAGCTCTTCACCAATTTGCAAACCAAGTGTTCTTTGCATTTTACCTTGAAACCCTCTGGCTGCTCCATATAGATTTCTTCTGCTAAATCACCATGGAAGAATATTGTCTTCACATCTAACTGTTCAACTTCAAGATCCTGAGAAGCAACAAGACCAAGAATAACCCGAATAGAAGACATCTTTACAACAGGAGAAAAAAAAATTCTTCATAGTCAACACATTGCTTTTGACTGAAACCTTTTACCACGATGCGAGCTTTGTACTTGACTTGGCCATTTCCTTCATTCTTGATTTTGAACATCCATTTGTTCTTCAAGGCTTTTCTGTTCTTAGGTAGCTCTATCAAGTCATAAGTGTGATTCTTATGCAAATAATCCATCTCCTCTTCCATAGCTTTCTTCCACTTTGCACGATCATCATGAATTTGTGCTTCATGGAAACTTTTCGGTTCACCTGCATTTGTTACCATAGTATACTCTGAAGCAGGGTATCTAATCGAGGTTGTCGTTCTCTCTCCGATTGTCTCAACTGAGGTACTTGTGGCTGATCTATATATGGTGGCTCTGGATGTTCATGCTCCCCCTGATCAAAACTGGAGAACCTGCAATTTTTTCTATCACTTCTTGAAAATCATTATTTTCTAGCATGGGAGAAGGAAAAACAACCGGTGTAGAAATTGGATCTGGGATGATATGAGTGTTTTGTGGCTCTTCTTCTTTTTCAAAATCTGCAAGTGTTTTATCTTCACAAAAAATAACATCTCTGCTCCTCACAATTTTCTTATTTTTAGGATCCCACAACATATACCCAAATTCATCATTTCCATATCCTAGGAAGATGCATGGAATAGATTTATCATAAGGTTTGTTCTTTTCTCCTTAGGTACATGTACAAATGCCTTGCACCCGAACACCCGTAAAGCGAGAATAGGAAATATCCTTTCCACTCCAAACTCTTTCAGGAATATCTCCATCTAAGGGAACTGAGGGGGACATGTTTATCAAGTAGCAAGCTGTTCGCACTGCTTCTCCCCAAAATATTTTTGGTAATTTAGCGAAGGATAGCATACTCCTTATCCTTTCCACAATTATGTGGTTCGTCCTTTCTGCAATTCCATTGTGTTATGGTGTGTGCGGACCAGTCTTTTGGTGTCTAATGCCGTAAAATGAACAATAGTCTTCAAACATCCTTGAAGTATACTCACGACCATTATCAATATGCATACACTTCAAGAGCTTTCCGTTTTCTCTTTCAACTTTGGTATGAAATTCTTTGAAAACTTCAAAGACTTGATCTTTGGTTTTTGTGACATACACCCACACCTTTCTAGATGCATCATCTATGAAGGTCACAAAGTATGAGGCACCACTAAAAGTTTTTTCATTTATGGGTCCGTATACATCCGAATAGACTAAGTCCAATATGCCAGTTTTCTTTTTTTATAATTTTTAACAAAAGCTACCCGGTTTTGTTTCCCAATCAAGCGGTGATCACAGTGGGATAATGTTGTACCTTGCATGGATGGAAGTAGTTATCGCATTGCGAGAGTTTGTAGCCCTTTCTCACTCATGTGGCCAAGCTGCTTGTGCCACAAATCCATAGAGATACCTTTCACTGTTCCAAGTTCATCATTCTCTAAGTGAAACTGAATCTTATAGAGAGTGCAACACTTCTTTCCTCTCGCTAGTACAAGTGATCCTTTGGTAAGCTTCCAACATCCTTTACTAAAGCTGCTCGTGTATCCTTCTTCATCAAGCTTGCCAATAGAGAGAAGATTGAGACGAAGATCGGGCACAAATCTAACATCTTTTAGAACCATCTTTGTTCCAAGGTTAGTAGTAACACAAATATTTTCAATGCTAAGAATTTGAGAAGAGTTTTTGTTACCCATTTTTACCATTCCAAGATTACCTTCACGAAGCGAAGTGAAGTAGTTCTTTCGGTGAGTAGCATGATAGGAGGCACCAGAATCAATCACCCATTCCGAGTCTTGGCAAGTGATATTTGCACAGTCTTCTTCACATGCCGAGAAAATCACAATTTCATTATCACTGATAACAACTGCACTTTCATTCATTTCTTGTTTTTCATTGGTCTTTCCTTCCTTTTGTTTTCGCTTGAGCTTGCGGCATTCCCGTTTTATGTGTCCATTCTCCCCGCAGTGATAGCAACTAATGTCCTTTCTAGCCTTTGATTTTCCTCTTGACTTGTCTCGATTCTGAGGTTGTTTATATTTGCTCCTCCCCCTGTTCTCGGTAACAAGAGCATGAGAATGGGAGGATCCGGATGACTTTCTTCGTATTTCTTCATTCAAGAGGCTGCTTGTAACTTGGTTCATGAATACAACTCCATCAAGTGCAGAGTTGCTAAAAGACACCACCAGCGTCTCCCAACTATCTGGTAATGAGCTAAGCAAAAGAAGGGCTTGAAGCTCATCTTCCAACACCATCTTCATGGCTGCAAGTTGATTTACAATACTTTGAATTTCATTCAAATGTTCAGATATAGAATCACCTTCCTTGAACTTGAGATTGACAAGCTTCCGAATCAAGAAAGCTTTGTTGCCGGTGGTCTTTCTTTCGTAGAGATCTTCAAGTTTCTTCCACAAGCTGTTCGCCGAAGTCTCATTTGACACATAGTGGAATACAGTGTCATCCACCCATTGCCGAATGGTGCTAATGGTTTTCCGATCGAGCTTCTTCCAATCATCCGCCGACATGGACTCTGGCTTGGAGGGTTCACCTTCAACTGGTGCATAGAGATCCTTGCAATATAGAAGATCCATCATCTTCGCCTTTCATCATCCAATTGCGGCCATTCAAACTGATCATTCGAACGTCGCCAATGGGAGTCTCCATCTCAACACAAGAAGATTAGCAACCTCGCTCTGATACCACTGATGGGAAATAAACAGTACAATAAGACCTT